CTTCCGAGTAGCCAGAATTACAGGCACGCGCTACCACGCCCGGCTGATTTTTTGATTTATTGTAGAGATGAAGTCTCACCTGCCAAGGCGTCTCGAACCCACGGGCGCAGGCAATTCACTCACCTCAGCCTCCCAAGGCTCGAGATTACAGGCTGAGCCACCGAGCCTGTCTTGGACTAGTTTTTTTTTATTTACTTTAGAGACGAGTCTTGAACCTGCGGGCTCAGGAAATCCTCTCGCCTCAGCCTCCCAAAGTGCTTGGATTACAGGCTCGAGCCACCGTGCCAAGCCCATAAAGCTTACATTTTAGTGAGATATTAGAGCCCTAAGCTGAAAATATAGAAATAATTTTTGCCGGGTGCAGTAGCTCACACCTGTAATCCCAGCACTCTGGGAGGCGAGAGGATTGCCTGAGTCCAGGGTTTTGAGACCAGCCTGGGCAACTTAGAGAGACCCCCTCTCTACAATTAAAAAAAACATAGCCAGGTGTGGTGGCTGAGGCAGAAGGATCGCCGGAGCCCAGCAGGCCGAAGCTGCGATGGCCAGGAGCATGCCACTGCACTCCAGCCTGGGCAACGGAGTGAGACTCCAACTCAAACAAAAAATGAGTTGCTAATTATTTAACATCTGCTAACCTCTCCAACCTCACCCCTCGGCTCTTAATGCTTCAGTCACACCTATCTACTGAAGATTCTCTCCCTTCTTGGTTCCCAGCATAGTTTAAGCCGTGCTTCTCAAATCTGAATTTGCATAAGAATGACTTAAGACAATTTTAGAAATTCAGATTTTTGAATTCTATCTTCAGAGACACTACTACAGTACGTGATTCTGATAAAAAGTAGTCTGAAGATCACACTTAGAAATTTACACTTTAGGACTTCCTGAAGTGGACACCTATATCATATCAGAAGAGTTGAGTGAATTATTTGTTGCTAGTTTGCACATTTAAAACTTACCTCTTTCTCTTGACTTGAATGCTTACTTTATAAATTGAGAGCAAAAAAATGTAGAGGCAATGAAGATTTAAGAACTCCAGCAATGAAATAGTTGAGTATAACTCTTAAAAACTATGTCAGTCTTGAAAAGAGCAATCCAAGAAGTCTATCAAGATTTCTGGAATTGACATGTTTGCATACTTGGAAACTTCCCTCAGCATGTGACATAATTTCTGTTTATAGAAAAGAATGTTAAGCCGGGCTCGGTGGCTCAGCCTGTAATCCCAGCACTTTGGGAGGCTGAGGTGAGTGGATTGCCTGAGCCTGCGCGTTCGAGACCTGCCCGGGCAACTTGGCGAGACCTCATCTCTACAATAAATCAAAAAATTGGCCGGACGTGGTAGCACATGCCTGTAGTTTCAGCTACTGGAAGGCTGAGGTGGAAGGATCCCTGGAGTCCAGCAGGTTGAGGCTACAGTGGCCGGGAGTGGCCACTGCACTCCAGTCTGGGTGACAGAGTGAGACTCCAACTCAAAAAAAAAAAAAAAAGAAAGAAAGAAAAGAATGTTAAATATGCTAACCAAAACTTTAGGACAGATTGTCCTCAAATGTAAAATATATTTTATGAACGGGTGCATTAGATTAACCTGATTGAAGCAGTAAAGTGTAGATTTAGGATATTGTAGAGAGGAAAGTATTGTTAATTTGGAACCCCAAATAACATTATATGAAATTCCCAGATTTCACACCCTTGATGTGACCTAGACGTGGACTACAATGAAGTTTGGAGACTATAGTAGCCCAGGCCACTTCCTGCCCTTTTCCTCTCTTCCTCTGTCAGATGAGAGAAGACTACTTTGCTGCTTTTGTCTTTTTGCTTTTTCAGTGTACTACCACCGTCTTCTTCCCCAGGATTCCCTGCAGCTTACTGACATTGTAGAGATTTTACACCATTAGGAGTTCTGTTATCTTTTATTTCCACGCAGTCTAACTAATAATTTTTCTTTGGGCTTCCTTGCACAGTTTTTCTTCTACCCCTCGGGTTGTTCATCTACAGTTCCCTTTTCTTTTCTTCTTCTTCTTTTTTTTAATCTCTAAACTTTGTGGGGAGTAGTCTTTTTCTTTTTTCTTTTTTTTTCTTTTTTTGAATCAGAGTCTCACTCCATCGCCCAGGCTGGAGTGCAGTGGCACACTCACAGCCATCCCAGCGTTGACCTGCTGGGCTCTGGCGATCCTTCTGCCTTAGCCTTCCAAGTAGCTAGAACTACAGGTGCGCGCTACCTCTCCCGGCTAATTTTATATTTGTTGTACAGATTAGGTCTCACCAAGTTGCCAGGGTGGGTCTCAAACCCATGGGCTCAGGCAATCCACTTGCCTCAGCCTCCCAAAGTGCTGGTATTACAGACTGAGCCACTGAGCCCGGCCACAAGTCTATTTTTCTAGATGTCCTTTATCAAATTGAAGAAGTTCTGTCTTTATTTTTCCACCAGTTATATTCTTGCATGAGTGTGAAATTTTCTTTAAGGTTTTTTTCTCCACCTATTCAAATGATCATATAGTTTTTCTATTTTAGCCTCCTAATAATATGAATTATATTGATTGGCTTTCAAATGTTGGACAAACCCTGCTCTCCTGGGAAAACTCACTGAGTTGTGCATGGTTCATGATTCTTTTTATATATACTCTTTGACTCAACATGGTAACATTTTGTGAAGGGTTTGAGAACTGTGCTCATGAAGGACATTGGTCTGTAACTCCACCTTATCTGTCATGTCTGTAGGTATAAATCTACAGCTGGCCTCATGAAACGAGTTGGGAGTGTCCTTCCTCCTCTGTGTGAAAGACTGTGTAGGGTTGGTATAATGTGTGGTAGAATTAACCAGTGAAGTGATCTGAGCCTGGAATTTTCTTTGTGGGAAGGTTTTTAATTACACATGCAATTTCTGCATCAGCTATATGGCTACTAAATTCATTAATGTAATATTGAGTAAACTTAGACTGTCTCTGTGTTCTTTTTTTTTTTGGAGTTGGAGTCTCACTCTGTCGCCCAGACTGGAGTGCAGTGGCCGTTCCGGCCACCGCAGCCTCGACCTGCTGGGCTCCAGCGATCCTTCCGCCTCAGCCTTCCATGTAGCCGGAATTACAGGCATGCGCTACCACGCCCGGCTGATTTTTTGATTTATTGTAGAGATGAGGTCTCGTTGCCCAGGCGGGTCTCGAACCCGCGGGCTCAGGCAATCCACTCACCTCAGCCTCCCAAAGGCGTGGGATTACAGGCTGAGCCACCAAGCCCGGCTCTGTGTTCTTTTTAATTGTCCATTTCATGCAGTGTGTCAAATTATTGGCATAAAGTTGTTCAGAATACTTTCTTATTATCCTTTTAATATCTGTATAGTCTATAATTATGAACCATCTTTCACTCCTGATACTGTTAATTTATCTTACCCCTCTTGTTTTCCTTGATCAGTCTAAGATTTTTCAATTGTATTGATCTTTAAAAAAAATACACCTCTTGGTTTCATTGATTTTCCTATAGTGCTTACATTTTTACTCTTTCAATTATTTCTATTCTTTATTATTTCTCAACTTTTACCTTCTTTGGTTTAATTTTTGCTATTTTGTTTGTTAAGGTGGAAAATTAGATAATTAATTTGGGGACTTTCTTCTACTTCAAATATCAACATTTTAAACTACTAAAAGTTTCTCTTTAAGCTCTGAGTTAGTTGCATCCTACAAAATTTGTTGTGTATTTTTGTTTTCATATAGTTTCTATTTTCCCTTGTGATTTCTTCTTTGACCCATGGGTTTTCTTCTAGAGGTATGCTGTTTAATTTCTAAATATTGGGGGATTTTCCGGATACTTTTCTGTTGTTGATTTCTAATTTAACTTGGTCATGGTCAGAGAATAAAATCTGGATCATTTCAGTTTTAAAATGTATTGAGGCTTTCACCCTACAAATAGTCTTTTTTCATAAATGTCCCACGTGGCATTGTAAACAATTTGCATTCTGCTATTGTTGGCTGGGGATCCAGTGTAGTTTTGATTCACATATCTTTATTTTACTAAGTCAGATCTGTCAGTTTCTGGGACAGCCTGGATGTTGCGTGCCCATAGATGTATATCATGATTGTAAGATATAGGAGAGAGTAACTCATTCCCTAACATTTACAAAGTATGACTAAGTATTCCTCTTAGGCTCCCTGCTAGGAATACATATGGGAATAAGAAAAGTCCCAATGACCTACTAGGTTGGGGGAAAGAAATGTGCTCAGAAACTAGAGTGTGCTGCCTGAGGTCTGAGAACCATAGCTTCCCGCTGGGATGATTGACAGTGGGAGTTGGTTCTCCCAGGACTGTCCCTGAGCCCCACAGCCTGAGATACTTCCTGGATTTCGGACTCTTCTGCAGCTTCATGTAGACGTCACACAGACATCTAAACTTGATCCTGTCTGGAGGAAGCCTCAGAACTCCTGCTCCAACATTTGCTTCATCCTGGTCTTCCCATCTCTGTCCTCATTGTTCAAAGCAACTAAGCCCGCTTCACTCTGACAGAAAATTGTGTTTGCTATTCAAAACCTATCCAGAATCTGGTTCCGTCTTACTACCTCTGCCACTGCCACCTTGATTTCAGTCAACACCTACTGTTCAGTTTGCAGCTTAAGAAGCTCATGAATATTCTACTGCTAATAACTGAGTGGCTGCAAAAATCCTGTCTTCAGGGTTGTATCTCAAGAAGCAGGACATGAGGAGGCCAAATTGGACTCCACTCACAGGCCATTAGGAAAA